TAGTACTATTAGTAGTAAATGTTACAAAAACCTGAACACCAGGAATGCGGAGCCTGAGACATAAACACCAGGGATGAGACACATTACACCCAGGAGAAAACAGACGATCTGACGAGGAGCAGAGGTGAACACACACAATAAATGTACACAGAGGGAAACGAGGAAATGGCAAACAGGAAGAGAACACAGCTAAACATAATCAAACGAGGTAAGACAGAGGGGGAGCAAAACAGAATACACTGACGCAGGGCATGGCACTGTCAAAGGAAATACACAAACATAGAAACCAGGACTCTAGATGTAACACAAGGAACACAAGGTAGGCACACTGACAAAACCTAAGGCCTGGAAAATCTCTAAATTACCAAAGAATAACTAAGGAAAATAGAAATACGAAAGACAAAGCCATGACAAACCACTAAATCATATAAATATAAGAAAAAAAAACATAAACACAGAGTCACCAGACTCCGGACCATGACACTGCACGTGTCTGTATGTTGCTTCAGCATCTAGCAAGCTCTACTGAAGATGAGATAAAAATAAAGACAATAAAAACATAAAAGGAGTAAAATATTTTTAAGTGGCAGGTAATTTCAAATGCAATGTTTCTATTAGCTTAACAAACGCACAAACTGTTCTGCTAGCTAAAGGTCCAGCTGCTGTATTTCACAGGCAGGTGATATTTAAAGGTAAGGACTGCTCATTTAAAGCTTACATGTAAGTCCTCATGATTTTAAATCATACATTGGGTCTGTACGTGTGACATTGTGCTTTTTTATATTGTGAAACCTGCTGCTAAACAAACTGAGGTAAACTGTGTTAAAGGTTATATGAACATCCTCTGCAGGTTAGTGCAGGATAAACAGGTTGGTTTGCTGTACTGTGATGGATTCAAAGTAAAGAACAGTGTGTGACTGGTGCACAGTGTCTGTGGTTTCATGGTAGGTTACATCAAGTGTAGCAGAGATTCACGTGAATTTTAGATGATGATCCTGAGATTCATTCACTGAATTCCACCTTCATACCAGCTTTACTGAGTCTAATATAAACACAGCATAAACAGTATATATTAGGGGTATTCAACTAAAATTTAAAGAGGTCGAAAAAGAGAGAAATTTGCCTTAAAAGTGTTGGAAATGCATACAACATGATCCACAAGTGTAAAATAATATTTACAGATGTGTACAATGATTTGTGTGTAACTTTTGAGGACTCACATGTGCGTGCTTCAAACCACACAGAAATAAGAATCAATCTGAACACACAAGACTATTTTACAAATGCATAAATCCAAACCCGTGTAAATACTGATCATTAACAAACAGTTGATTAAGTTTAGCTTCATGAATCTGATAATTTTATCTTTCAAAAACCTTTCTGGGAGCATATGTGTCCACTTTGTTTGAAATAAGTAAAAAGAATAAGCAAACAAAACAAAACAAATACACACAGGTACACAGTTGAAGCCCAGAAGTCCCAGTTTTACACTGGGACTTGAACATAGCTTACACTTGTTGATCTGAGTGAACCCCATGTGGGCATGTGATATGATCTGTGTGTACCAGGTGACTGGTGCACACGTATTTGAGGTTTTGTGAGTGAGTGAGGGATGTTACGTGTCGTTTCAGACATTTGGGTGCAAATTTCTCTCCATATTTAATCAACTCCCCACTTTTCTGCTCAGTGAATGAATTGAGCTTTAGCTTATTCTGACAGCATTTTAAACCTGGGCTTGAATGGAGTCAGGGTCATCTTTATACACATGTGGGGTGCTCATTGATGAGCTGGGATCGGTATTTAGTTTTGATAAAGTTCACTGTGGAGTGGAGCCAAATATGGTCAAGATGCACAGAGCTACTTTCCTCCTACCTGAGAAACCTGTCTCAGTGGCAGGATCAGTTCTTACAAACTGCTCTTTCAAGTCCACATCAGGTCAGAGAAAGGAAGAAATAGATAAGGAACAAACACTGCTGTGGACAGTGAAAAGAAATAGGTGGATTCTGGGCCTCTCCAGATGCAGCTGGTGACAGAGACTATCTTTGTTCTTCTTTCTACCGCTTTCATGTGTAACTCACTAACTCAGCTGTTGGTTTTGCAGCCTTGGTGGTTCCTGGGTTATTCTTAATCTTTTTGAGTATGTAATCTTCTGACCACATCTATACAATGTTTTCCTCTGCTTACATTCCACATAACAGATGTTCAAGGTGATTACATTAATTGAAATAAGTTTTTTTATTATTATGCATTGATATTATATTAATATGGCATTTGTAACAAGTATCTCTACTTCTACTTAGGTGACAAATGACTCAGGTTGTTTCACCTCTGATTAGAAACCTAAAAATGTGAATACAAACACACTGCAGTGATTTGCAGTTATTCAAAGCTCATGAGTCAAGATATGAAATGTTGAAATCTTTTGTAAATGTGTTTTACTTCAGTGCAATGCCTGCTCCTCACATAGTCTCCAACAATATCAGGTTTTCTCACAATAATCCGATGACAGTCTGAGGTAATGATTCTCTCTAGCTTATCACAAACACTGTTTTCACTCTGTTATTTAAAAGTATGGGTGAATGCTCTAATGAGTCAATCAATTCATTGTTTCACAAAGTCAGTGCACCTGAGTTTGGACTGTTTGTAGTAAAGAAAGGAGAACATGGACTGAATAGGCAGTGTTACAGTGATCAACCTGAGAGGTGGTAAAATCGTGCCTTTCTTTAGCAGTGGCTCTCAATTTGAAAAGCTCCTCTTCACAACATGGTTCATTACTGAATTTAAATACTGATTTTTTTTTAACACCAGTTGGGACATGTGTTGATAATAAAACCTTTTTTAACCTTTATTAGTTTGGGACTAATAAAGGTTTATCGTATCGTTTTCTTATCTTAAAGAACTAAGTATCTTTGATATATTATCAGAGCTGGAAAGTTAATGAAACACATTTCATTTTGCTCCACATAGTGACATAAAACTGAAAGCCACAACATGAAGATGAAAGAAATGAAACCAAAAGAGTAAATAGGTATGCTAGATTAGTCAGAGCAGGTGTGACTGGTTCTGTCAGTGTGGGCGTGTACGATGTTCTAGCAGGTGTATAAATATCTGCAGACACAGAGGCATTAGCACAATAACCACCGCTCACCTTCACCACACTTTAAGGAATAATGGGAATTTTAAAGTTAGAGGACTTGATAGATCAGATACCTTCTCTCTGTGAGGAGGTTAACATAGAAAAAACAGGTCTCATCATTGATGGTGCAGCTCTGTACTATTTTTTGTATTATTACTCTGATCTGAAGCTGGACCAGCGCTGTGGAGGAGATTATCCTGGATTTAAAGATGAGGTCTGTAAGTTCTTTAAGACTCTGCAGGACTGTGAAGTCACTCCGTACGTTATCCTGGATGGAGGTTTAGGATCCGACAAGCGTGAACATCTTGTGTCTCATCTAAAAAAAAAACTGGAAAAAGCAAAGACAGTAGCAGAGACTGAGCTTGGCTGCACTGTACGAAAAAGATACAGGCCTAACGTCTTACCACCTCTGGTCAGAGATGTCTTCATAGAAATCTTGAAGGAGAAAGGCATAGAGTTTAAACAGTGTTTAGGAGAGGCAGATCCTGAGATTTTTTCTGCTGCAAATCAGAAACAATGTGCTGTGCTGTCCATTGACACAGATTTCTGCATCTATGATGTGAACAAAGGTTTCCTTCACCTTAAACACTTTGAGTGGAAAAGAAAGAAGGATGGAAAAATTCCTGCTAAGCTCTACACGTGTTCAAAGTTTTGTGAGCATTTTAAATTGGACCCTGCTCTCATGCCAGTCTTTGCTTCAATAGCAGGAAATGATTATTCAAGATTAGGTAAAGAAATATTTGCAAATGAATCATCTTCACCTGGTCAAAACGACATCAAACGACTGTATGGTATGCTCACATTTTTAAGCAAATTGAAGCTGGACAGCTGTAATGATTCAGTGAAGAGAGAAAACGCTCTGCAAAATGCTGTAAATCACGTTCGTGAGATCGAGGACAGATCTTTCAAACTCTCCATTCAAAAATATGTTGAACCAACAAAGACTGATTCTGAGCTGCCTTTATGGGTTCTTCAAAAAATTGAGCGTGGAGAACTCACTACTTTCATCATAAATATTGTGGATCAGAAGACAATGATGCTGCCTGCTCTTGTGGAGGACTTTTCACAGCCAAGTAGTTACACAGCTGCTTATTGCATCAGACAGTACTTCTATGGACTGTTAACTGGAGGTCAGATGTGCACTGAATATGACAGGGAGGGAGAAGAGATCAAAGACAAGCGTGTCCCATCCATACTCCTCAGCAGTGATGAACAGAAACAACTGAAATTACAGCATCTGCATGAGGTACTGAGGTTAATCATTAAATATGTGTTTAATTCCTCTGACAGGCCATAAACGTGTTTCCGTGGTACACGTGAGCATCTTGTCTGTGTGGTACCTTCTGTGCAGGCTCCTGAGGGTTTGCGTCGCAGGGTGTTTGAAGAAGCTCTGCAGGTTCAGACTTCAGCCTTAGAAAACATCCCCGACCAGCTGAAGCTGCCAGTCTGTGTGACTGTTTTCTGGTTCAAGAGGCTACAACACCACCCAAAACCTGAAACTGTCCACTGCCTCCACGCCCTCCTGCTGGGGTTTATGTATCACCATGACAGTCCAGGTAAGTCTCACTGGGTAACATGGTAGATATTTCCCAGATAATGGATAGAAAATATACTGTACTACAGAGTGGGCCATTTATATGGCCATTTATATATGGTT